TCATCAGGAGTTGAATCGATGCCTTGTTTTTTAAAGTTTCGTAGATTTGCGTCTTTCCGACTGCAAGTGTCTGCTGGATGCTTTTAACTTTGTGTCCATCCTCGCTCAAACGGATGCATTTCACTCGCTCCGCTCCAGTCATTACAGTTCTTCTACGTTTCGATGCCATGATCTACACGACGTAAGTGAATAAAGTTAAAATCTTTCGCAATTGCAGTAAAACGCACGCCAATAAAAAGTCACTTACACGTCTTTGTTTCGAATCTGATGAATGAAAACGGCGAAGCGAACATGTTTCTTCGGTCGTGTCGAGTGGGTGTTGCTTTTAAGCTAGTGCCGCGTTCTACAGGACGTTAAGTGAATAAAGTTAAAATCATTCACAATTACAGTAAAACGCACGCCAATAAAAACTCACTTGCACGTCGTCGTTTCGAATCTGATGATCGAAAAACGCGAAGTGAAAATGTGTCTCAGTGTCGTCGTTCCGTAGCATCGGGTGGGCGTTGCGTGTATTTAAGATCCCGCGGCATGCCGTCTCAATCCGGGTTACGGGTAGTGGAATTTCCGCCTACGTAAGTTCCGGTAACATGTAATATCGTAGTCAAAATGTTAATGCACGGGTTTTTGTTCCGGGTGAAGGAAATTCCTTTTCATAGAATTCCGGGGATGGGAATATTTACTGTAATCGCCTCATCAGTGAAGGTTTCTGGTGCTTATGCACAAATGCCGACAACCATCAATGGAGTGAATTTTAAATCACCGTCCTAATGAGGGACACTGTCCAGTCATGCTTATCCTTAATGCATGCAAAACGCCTAACATTGCACCTCTGAGGCGCCATCTGCAAATGTTCTGCTCAGCTGTGACATTTTGGGAACATATTCTATAGCACGTTTTATTATTAGAATCGTCAGTGAGCAGGAGCCTGTCGGAGCTGACTTCGGGCAAGAGGCGGCGTCCAGCCAACATCGCTAGCCAAAAGCAGCGCAGCTGTAGACAAACAACCATTCACACCCGCATTTCTACCAGTGGAGAATTTAGAGTCTTTATTGAATCTAACATGCAGGCTCGACACCAGAGAGCCAGAGCTAGGATCCATCAACTGTGACTCAAACATGACAAGCACTACTTTTCCATAGGATACCTAACAAACTAGGCATTAATAGTAATTTTAAAAATCAGTTTTTACTGTAAATGCTTTACAATGTTATACTTTTAATTATGTGAAGCTCATTGAGTTATCTTGTGTATGATATTCCCTTTCCTTAACTGTACTTGTACATTTTTGGTAAAGAAAAATGTAAAAACAGTAATTACTGGAGATTGAACACGAAGGGACAGAAATGTACTCTCCTATTATTCCCCTTTCCGACAGCAGCCTGTTACGAGTGGATACTGTTGACTATATTGTCTCTAAAACCCGTCCACACACCACGTGTCGCCGAGAGAGCGCCAGCAAGACTCGTAAAAGGCAAACAGAGGTGTGAGAGACCCATTATGTTTCGTGGTGAATGGCTGTATCCTTAATGAGAAGCACCTCCGTGGGTGCCGTGAAACCAGGCTGAAAAACACACTTATCATTAAAACGCCTGCGCTACCGGGAGAGACAAAAAAAAAAGACGGAAAGAATGTGGTCAACTAAATTGTGCCATTAAAGAGGAAGCAAAAGCACATCTGTGGGGATAAAAGTGAACTGCATCATTGGTTTTGAGGACTCAGAGCAAACACGTCGGTGCCAAATGTGTCACTCAGAGCTGGCAGGCAGGCTTCAAGGCCAACAGCCATTGAAAGAGAGCGACTGATGAGCTTTGGCTCGCCACTCTCTCACTTTCTATCTATCTATCTATCTATCTATCTATCTATCTATCTATCTATCTATCTATCTATCTATCTATCTATCTATCTATTTCAACTCAACTCAACTGTATTTATAGAGCACTTTCAAACAGCCATCGCTGCATACAAAGTGCTGTACATGGAGCAACAAACATACACAACAGCAAAGCAACAAATCAATAACAAAAGACGGTCGAAAGCACCAAAGAGCAAAACCAAGATCAATTCTGAGTCATGCTGAGTCAAATGCCAAAGAATACAAGTGAGTTTTGAGGCGCGTTTTAAAGATGGGCAGCGAGGGGGCTTGCCGAATGTTCAGTGGGAGGTCATTCTAGAGAGAGGGACCAGCAACGGAAAAGGCTCGATCCCCTCTGAAAACAAATAATATGATCTTGAAAAGAACTCTAAAATGTATCGGGAGCCAGTGAAGGGATGCCAGAGTAGGAGTTATGTGCTTGCTCTTACGAGTACCAGTCAAGAGGCGAGCAGCAGCATTCTGGACCAGCTGGAGGTGCTTAATGGAGGATTGGCTGACTCCAAAATAAAGTGCATTGCAGTAATCGAGCCGGGATGTGACGAAGGCATGAATTACTGTCTCAAGGTGCTAATGAGAAAGAAGAGGTTTTACTTTAGCCAGATGTCTAAGATGAAAGAAGCTGGATTTAACAACGCCACCAATTTGCCGGTCAAGTTTAAAATCACTGTCCAGTTTAAGACCCAAGTTTGAGACTGTTGACTTATGATAAAGAGACAGTGGGCCCAATTTTACAGGATGGGATGTACAAGGGCCACTGGGACCAAACAGTATTACCTCTGTCTTCTTTTCATTGAAATTCAAGAAATTTTGTGCCATCCAGGTTTTGATTTCTTCCAGGCAGGATAAAATTGGCCCTAATGAGAAAGCGTCTTTTTTGCTCAGTAGGACATCGATAGATCGATCGATCTATCTATCCCAAATAAGTCATGCTACCAGCATAGCACCAGTAGCTAATATTTGCTTGCCTGCAGTTCTAATGCTAGCCCAGTTTTGCTTGCGCTGTTATTTTGTTGTGCCTGAATATACGTTGGCTTGTTGACTATCACTACTATGCACTTTCAAAATTGCAAGCCATTATTGAGCTGAGTCTACATTCAAATCTTACTAGTGTTTTTTAAACTCAGTGATTGCAATT